TGCTGGAAGTGCAGGAATCGGATCAACATTTTTGTTGCCTGCGGAAGAAAGGAGTTTCACACTTAGACTGAGTGATAAAGGGCTCCAGGACGTGCCTCAGTCTGCTTCCGAAAGCCAAAATATAAAAACCTTGCTCTTACAGAACAACGAAATAAAAACGCTACGCTTAAATACAGTTAACTTGTCTAATCTGGAGATCCTGATACTTGAAAGAAACAGACTGACGCTGCTGCCGCCAGAAATATCATTGCTTCATAAACTAAAAGTGTTGAATGTCAGTCACAACCGGTTATCGTGCCTCCCTGAAGAATTGCCCAAGCTTGTAAATATTAAGGAGCTCTTTCTCAATCACAACAGCATTGATGAATTTCCTTTTGCACTGAAAAGCCTTGAAATATTAGAGCTTGCTGGGAACAAGCTAAAAACTTTGCCAGATGCCATGATTGACATGAAAAACTTGAAGGTTCTTAACATCGATTCCAATCAGATCTCAATATTTCCAAGAGTTCTGTGCTACCTTCCTAATCTAGTAAATCTCAGCTTATGTGAAAACTTCATTCAGAGTTTACCGAAGGATATTAAAGAGCTCAAGAAATTACAAGAATTTTCAATTAGTCACAACAAGCTTATATTTCTGGCTGTGCAGCTTTTCCAGCTGACAAAACTGAAAGGACTCAGAGCTGATGATAACAAATTGGAGTTTCTTTCAGATAAAGTGGAGAACTTGAGAGAACTTACGTTTCTGAACCTTTCAAAAAATTTATTCAAAAGCATTACAAATAATCTTTGCAACTGTACTATGTTGAAACATCTTATTCTATGTGATAATCAGTTAACCCAGCTCCCTGCTAGTATTCACAGACTTAAAAATTTAAAGGAGCTTTCTTTAAATGGGAATCAACTAAACTCGCTGGTTGAACAAGTATCACATTTAAAAGACCTCTCCAAAATAGAGCTTTCTGGAAATGTATTAACGTACATCCCTGTCGAATTAAAAACTTGTATAAGGATAACCAAAGCTGATCTCAGCAATAATAAGCTCTCTCAGTTTCCAAATGTGGTGTGTGCACTATCTGATCTTAAATACTTAAATCTCAGTGGCAACTCTATTTCAGAATTAGTACCTGGAATTTCTGATATTAAAGATTTGGAGCATCTAGAATTAAACAAGAATAAACTGTCTTCATTTTCTGCATGCTTGTGCAGCCTCACAAAACTCATTTACTTGGATGTAAGTGAGAATGAGATCAATAGTATGCCAGCAGCGATATCTGAAATGAAGGCTCTCCAAGTTCTTCTTCTGCACCACAATAAGTTTGACTCATTTCCTGAAGAATTGTGTTCTTTAAAGGGTTTAAAAACACTCGACATTTCAAATAATCAGATAAAGAATATTCCTTTAAAGATTAGCAATCTGGAAATGATTAAAGACTTAAATGTATCAAACAACCAGTTTGCATCTTTTCCTTCTGAAATATGTCTTCTTTCATCACTGGAGAAATTGACTGTGTGTCAAGTGAATGGGTTGAAGGTAAGAGAACATTTCCTTTAGGTTAGAAACCTTGTGTTGTGCAGATTGTCATGCTGGAAAATTATTACAGACATTTTCCTAACGTGTTAAAGCTCCTGTGTTTGACTAGAGCAGAAAAAAAAGCTTGTAAAGAGGAAAGTATATGTTTGTTTTTGCTGATTTTTAATACCAGAGCTGGACAAGATTCTATTAGGATACACATACTTTTAATCCTAGCTGGAAATTCTATAGATAAGCCTGCCTCCAAGGTTCCTCTGTTAAATGAACCAGTCTTTACAATTGTGTCATACTTCTTACAAGTTCATTAAACTTTCACCAGCTCAAACAAAAAAAGCTGTATTACTTCTGTGATTTCTTACAGCAGAGAAAACTGCTTCATGTTTCTGAAATCCAAAGTTTAATAATTTTGTTTAACAAATACTAAGGAAGAGGTCAGAACAATCTCCTGAGGAAATGTAAACCTTCTTTTCCAATTAAAAATGCAGGTAGTGGTTGTCATGGATAGAGTGACACTGTGCTCTTATTGTCAGTTGAAAACAAAGAAAATCTTCTGAAGCAAATGCACAGCCCTTGCCTCATTCATGTTAAAAGTTAAGCATTTTAATCTCTTCTTTCACCAGAGTTTGCAAAATCAGCTTTACAGAAAAGTCTCGAGTTTTGTTCGTATGGTTCCAAGTGTGGTTACATTTTCCAAGGGCTTACTTCTCTCAGACATGGGAACAAAGTGTCTGCCATCATACAGTCAGGTCTTGTTTCCACAATAGCTGGAGAACAGTTAAAGTTCCTAGTGGAACAATGCAAACTAGGAAAGACCAAGGGAAGAACAGAACCTAAATGAAAAAAAAAAAACCAACATTTTATTTCCTTTTTTTTTTTTTTTTTCCTAATGTGTTGAGTGTTCTGAGAGGGCAGTGATGAAAATAATCACTCTTGAAGTTCCAGCAATAGAGGCTTGGCTTTTCAATTGTCATTCTATCATTATGCCTAAGGAATTTTGCTGAAAAATTCTGTGCTTGGCAGCAGTATTTTTATTGGAAAATACTAAATGAACTTCCACTAGAACAGAAGTTCAGAACTTTTATTGTTGGAATTAAATTAAGGAATGTACTTTTGCTTGCAGGAAAGTTACCTTTGAACTTTTTACAGAAGAGAAATAGTTATATATAAGTAAATGAATTGTGTTCTTATTTTTATCAGTTAACTAAAATTCCAGAGGAGCTTTCCAAACTGGTTTCCCTCAGGGAGCTTGACATATCTCATAACATGTTAAAGGAAATGCCAGACAGCATAGGGGAACTGAAGTTTTTGGTCCATCTAATTGCAAATAACAATGAGATCAGCCAGCTCCCCAAATCTATTACATCACTAAGAAGTCTGCAGCACCTTGACCTTAGTGGTAAGTATCAAGCATTCAACCCCTTCATTTTTCTGTCATGTGCAAGATTGACATTTTTCTGTTGCAAAGAATGTGTATCTGTGTGTCCAGATGTCCACTCAATATCACTGATACAATACGGTCTGTTGTCCTTTTTTGGTGGCTGATTTACTGGGTTGCCAAGTGGCTGTTAGAGATGCGATGACAAAGAGATGGGCATGAAGCAGTGCTGCACAGTATGTTATCTCGGTTATATCACAGCAGCATGAGCACAGCAGCTGTGTTTCATGTGCTTAATTCCCCCTGAAACTCATGGCTGTCTCGTGCAGAGACAGGAACAGAGTCTTGTTTGTCTGGGAAAGCAGCGGGTTCACCATGAGCTGAGGTATCCCAGGAAGTGATCCCTCCTGCCTACCTGCTGTGCTTCACAGACAGCTTGGCTGCTTCACAAATGTATTCAGATATTTTCTGACTGAAATAATTTAAAATCCCATGGACAAAGGACACTGTTTTTCCCAGATGAAATTAAGTATGCTCATGTATTTCAACAGAAAATCGGCTGAGATATTTGCCTGCTGGCCTTCGTCACCTTTATTTGCTGAAAGACATAAACTTTGATGGAAATTCTTTGTTTGAGCCACTACAAGATATCTGTAAAGGAAAGCAATTACATCCCATTCTATGCTATCTGGAAAGTGCTGATGAAAGAGATGGTATGTTAAGAACAGACACAGTTATTTTTGTGCATTAAAGGTAGCTACAGCAGCGGCTGTTGAAACTCCATTGTTTTCAGAAAGCAGTATCATTATTAGTTTTAAATCTGTTCCTCACTGACTTCTGTTATTATCAGCAATATTGAGGTGATGGTTAGTGTGCGTGTTCTTACTGTACAGGCATAATATAAACAAGATTTATATTTTATTATTGCTTGGGTCACTGATAAGAGAACTGCTTTAAGAGCTAGGATGATATTGTTGCATAGGATTCTTATCAGAAATGGAAGCTGACAGCTTAAAACTGAAATCGAGGTCTTGAGTTTTGTATTCAAACCAGAAAGCCAGACACAGTTAAATGAAATGCACAAGCTTAAGGTTACTTCAACTCTACCCATCAGAGAGGTGATTTGTACTGAGAGTAGAATAGCATCTTCCTCCTTTCTTAACTTCCCTAGCTCTTTTTCAGCTCTTGAGAATGCAAAATCTCAATATCTACTTATATCCTTACTTCTCTGTGGCCTGCCTACCCATCATTATTAATCACGATACACTGAAGGCCTATCAGATGTTATCCTTGTGCTATACTTGCTTTTGACTAAAACGTTACTGCCTTACTTGTGCTGCAGTTACACTCCTGGGTCACTGGGAGGCAGTCCGGTGCCCTCGCTCATTCCCGTTGCCGATTTTCGATGTTGAACCTTATTCCAGCACGCCCTGCTATTATCCCCGAGTGGAGGGAGCGGTGCCTGTTTCATGCAGCGTTCCCTGATGCCGCAGTGATTCGGATGAGCCCAAAGTAGTTCTTTCACAGCCTGATTGTGATCAAAGAGAACAAAATATTTGAATCACTGCTTCACCTTAAGCAGTGTAAATGCAGTAAACTCTTGTCAGATGTAACACTTGTTTTCAGTCAACAGAAGGGAGAGAAAAAATGGTATTCTTAACTTACATGAGCAGTTCAGATATGTGCAGTTGTTCTGACAATCTGCTTCACTCTCACCTGATGGTGAGCAGAGCTGTGAGGCGGTTGATTACTGTAAAAAGCGTTCTCAAAACTGTAGCTCCCCCAGCTTACTCTTCCTGTAACTCATGGTGTATGTTCTGGAAGCACACCCTGCTCTCCCACCTCAAACAGAGGGAGCTTGGAGCTGTGCTGCTTCAAACTGAAGAGAATGAAAAGCTTCCAAATTTCTTCCCAGCAGGGCTGTCAGGGAGACAGACCTGAAAGACCATCACCCAGAAATAGCGATGGTGGTCTGTCCTCCAGGATGGAAACATCACCTTGGAAATGGTGTTTGGGAATTAACAAAATCCCAAAGCAGATAAATAGTATTTACAAAACATCTGATAGAAAAGACACACGATTCTGTATTATTAATTATACGTTTTATGTGGTTGTATTTAGAGAAAATATTGCGCAAGATAATAGAAATGATCGCTGGCAATGTTCCTTCTGAAGATTTTGAATTCTTCTGCCAGAAACTACAGCTTGGTCAGGCTGACATCAAGGCTCTGCAGAATACCAGGTTAGGGACAGCTATTTGTAACTGTACCTTTCCATTTTACGTTTCCTGTTTCCCTTTTCATTACGATGTTATGAAGTTAATACACAGTATTTTGATTACAGAATTCACATTACTTCTGTTAAATACAGAATATGTATATCTATGTAAAATGTAGTAACTATCTACAAATCTTTTATTTTCTCCAGTGTTTACTTCACAACTTTTTCCCAAACAGGGCTCTTAAGTTGAAAGAGAAAATCACCAAGGCGCTGGACATCTGGATCAGTGAAAACCAAGCCCTAACTTATGATGAAATGATAGAGAAACTGATCAGAATGCTGGTAATGACAGGCATGCATCATCTAACCAGCAAAGCGAAAGCTTTAAAGCTCTGTTCACGATTGGTGACGTTCTAAATCTGTGATGTACAAACAGTACGTATGAAGGGAACAAAGGTTTGTCTTGTCATTCTTTTGTTTTTTTATCACATTGATCACAATATCATCATAAGAGCTCAGTGTGGATTTAGAAATCATTCATAGTCTTAGATTCATTTTTTACCATGGCTTGTTTAAAAAAGAATCAAAAATGCACTTCCTTATTTCTAATGTGAAGTAATTGTTAGAAAGTGTATGTCAAACTGATGAAAACTTCAGTAGACTTCAGTGAATCTATCACATCAAGTTATGTTAGTCACTGCTGGGGTTTCCTTGTTTAAATTCCTGAATGGTGTTTCTGAATGGAAACAAGGTGTATGTTTGCGGTTTTGACGTGTTATTCAGCACCAATTTTAGAGTGTTTTCTGAGGATATATGAAAATAGGGGGAGCATTCTGAAAATGTACAGCGGGCACTGAGCTCCAGTGCTGTGTTACCGTTCTTGGCTTACCTGAAAGCAGTATGTGCAGAGCAGGAAGAGATGTGCTGTTTGTTTCCCAATTAGTGCAGCATATGGGAGGTTTGAGTTTGGAAATAGGCAACTGTGAGTCCAGGATAACATGTCTGTATCGTCCAGACAGCTGTGTTGTCACAAATGGGATATTTGTGAGCGTGATGTTCTCTGTCTTCACCATAATTGTGCACCTGTGTAGATTAAAGGTAGGAGCTGAACTTGGCAACTGCACTTATGTTTGCTTTGAAGGCCTGCCTCTAGAATGAAGAAGGTATCTGTCAATGAAGACTATGAGACTCAGGTCTGGGAATAGTTCCTGGTGCTCACATTACCATTTTGGTTTGGAGCAGCACCGTGTCAATGCATCCAGAGGCTGCACCCACCTTGGTCTGGTTCTCAGTGAGGTTTTGGTGCCTGACTTCAGGATGCGACCCAACCAAAAGCTGTGCTGAGGAGGTGCTCCATATGCATGCCTGGCACCATGGAACATCAGCACCGGACTGCTGTGTTTTTGTAACACCCCACCGGACTGATCTCACCCTACACCAAGGCCAAATGCTCTCTTCATCCCTGAAGTTGTTCTTGGGACCTTCTCTTGCCCTGAGAGACTGCAGCCTCACCTTCCTTATCTGTACCGCTTGCTGCTTCCTGTCACTTTCCTGGACTTTTTTTAATTTTTTAACTGCAGCCCTTCCCTACTGCCCATGCCTGGAGAGGAGGCATTCACCCTTTGTCCCCAAGAGCCAAGCAAGAGGACAGCGCCAACAGGACTGCGGAGCAGCGTTACACCGTTCAGACGGTCCTTCGAGACCCAGCGCACACAGCACGCGTCACATCCCTGCTGCGGCGCGCACAGCGGCCGGCGCGGCGCACAGCCCGCAGCCCCGGGCACCGCCCGCCCCCGTCTTCTCCGGCACCGCCCCCGCGCCCGCCCCGCCCCGCCGCCCGCCCAATGGCGCCCGTCGCAGCCCGGCCGATGCCGTCACCCCGTGGTGCGCCGCCGCCCATTGGCCGGGCCGCCGGCAGTCGTCACATGGGCAGAGATCAGCCCAGCGCCGTGGCTGGGCCGGCCGGCTGCAGGGCACGCCCCCGCGGCGCGCGGTAGCGGTTCGCGGTTCACGGTCGCGATCGGTACCGGCTGAGCGCGAGGCGATGCTGAGCCTGCTGGAGGTGGGCGGCAGCCTGCTGGAGCGGGCCGCCGTCGGCAACCCGCTGTCCCTGCTGCTGGCCGCCTCCGCCTTCGCGCTCAGCCTCGGCTACCTCTTCCAGCTGGGCTATCGCCGCCACGTCGGGGCCGGCCGGACGGTAGGCGCGGGGGACGCGGGGAGCGGGCAGCGGGCGGTGCGTCCGGTTGCCCCCGGCGGGCCGCGTCGGGGCGCGGCCTCGGCCCCCTGTGAGGCGCCGCGCGGAGCGGCCGCTGAGGGCCGCGGGCCGGGGCCGCGGGCAGCGCCTCCCGGTGTCTGCCGTCTGTCCGTTGCGGTACCTCTGGCGTCGCTCTCGGAGCGGGAGGGCGGGTCGGCGACCTGGCCGAGGTGGTTTGAAAAGCAGCCCGGCCTTCTTGTAAAACGTCGTTTGTCATCCGAAGTCGCTTTTTTCACCGAAGATCTTGAGCAGAGTGTGTGTGCATCTCTTGTGTGGCTGAACGCAGTGCTGTGTTACTCTGAAGAAAATTCAATATTTGCTTTTCTTTCCTCTGCAGAACCACCCTCCTCACATCCCCTCAAGCATCCCGTTCCTCGGACATGCCGTAGCGTTTGGAAAGAACCCTATTGAGTTTCTGGAAAACGCCTATGACAAGGTGTGCTATCCTGTGTGGCTGAGCAGTGCCAAAGCATTGCTGTGTGCTTGTTGGGGTCCGTTTACAGTCAGTGAATTCCCTCTTAATTCATCAGATGTGGAGTGTGGAGTGTGCAGGAGGTTGTGGCTTCTTCACATCTTGTGTGTGGTGCATTGGTGTTACAGAAATAGTTGTGTTCTCTGAAACTCCTCTTGTGATTCAGTCTTTGAAAAGCCTTTGGGTAATGCTCAGAGTTGGATCACACACATTAAAAGTCCGCATTCACGGGGTTATTTCTTGCTCTAATCGGAAACTGTAAACTGTGTGCTGGTCCGTGCTCTGTGCTGATGTGTGTGTGAGCAGGCTGGGATGGAGCTGACACCTCTGCAGGTGACTGCATGAATGTTGAGGTGCTCAGCTCTGCCAGAAGAGCAGGGGTATCGAACCCCAGAAATTGGAATAGCCCCAAAGAAATGGACTAAGGCAGTAGAGCCTTAATTCTGTCCAGCAAAATAAGATGTACCAACATGTTTTACTTTGTCTAAAATGTCCAAAAGCCATAAACTTAAATCTCAGCTTGATTAACTTTGAGAAAGACAAATTCAGTTGTGGGAATCTGCTGGAGGTGACTTTTAAACGTTAAAATCTTACTGTTCTTCATTATCAGCGCATGACTGCAGACCCAGTCTTTTTTCCAAAGCAGTGTGTGTTGGTTTCTGGAGCCCACATGTCTGGTGGTCTCTCTATAGTAGTTCTGTGCTTTTTTAATTTCCATTTTTGAAACTTAATGGTCCTACATCTTGTGAGATTACAAATATTAATTAGACTTATTAGTGATGTGTTATTTTATATTGAGAACAGAATTCAAATATGGCTTAAAATGTTTCTATGTTATGCAGTTTCTATGTGTTTCTTAGGAGAAGAGATTTGTAGAAGCTTGTAAAGAGATAATGACTCCATGATTTGTATTCCTATTATTTAAAACAAATGGGTGTTTTTTCCTCTCAGTATGGACCTGTGTTCAGTTTCACGATGGTTGGCAAGACGTTTACGTACCTGCTGGGCAGCGATGCTGCTGCGCTGCTCTTCAACAGCAAAAATGAAGACTTGAATGCAGAAGATGTGTATTCCCGGCTGACTACACCAGTCTTTGGAAAGGGGGTGGCTTACGATGTCCCTAACGCGGTAAGTATTTTAAATAGAAAATGAGCAGAAAACGAGGATCGTTTACATTCTGACTGGACAGCTGTGAGCCCTTGGCTCTGTATGATGGGCTTGAGATTCTGGCAGAAGGCATGGTGTGGTTGATAGTCTCAGCTGGACGATCAGCCTGAATGTACTTAGGCAGTGAATAACACAGCCTTACTGTCCATTAGTCTGGGTGCTGCTTTTTGTTTTAGAAACTGTCTAATCCCATAATTGAGAAAAACTAATAAGTGAGTGCTTTTTTTTTATTATTCCCTTATAGCCTGTCACTGACTGCAGTTTCCTTTTCCCTTATGAGCAACATTAGATCTTCCTTCTGTTAGATCTATAAGTGATGATTTCTCGTTTCTGTCATGTTTAACCTCTATGCAAGACTATTGATTTGACCGTAGGCACCACAAAGCTTGTTTCGCTAGAGCAGAAGTCAGCCTGTGTGTTTGCAGAGTACAGCCTGCCTTCATCTGGAAGTGAAGTAGCTGTGCCACATAGCATTGCTTCTGAGATGAGCATTGGCTGTTCTCATGCTTATGCATGTTGTGTGGAACAACGAACTGCAGAATCCTGTCTCCTGTCTGAAAGTCTCTTTTGGTTGCGTTCCAGAAGAACCAACCCCTAGAGTTGACTACTTGTTTGAATATCAGTTGTGACTGATAATGAAGTCTGTCAATGTGCATTGTTTATATATCAATTCAGATTCCCTCTCTGTCTTCTCCTTCCAAACTTCTTGCAGCATGTTTCTGGGAGGCAGTGCACTGATAGGGTGTGTTCTTACCGCATGCTTTCCATCCAGATAAGAGATGGGCTGCCATGTTGCAAGGGAAGACATGCCTGCACCACTGCTCTGCCAGGGTGTGCCCACTGCATTCTGAAAATGGAAATTATGCAGAGCAACCTCTCTTTTATGCTTTTTGTTTTGTAAATAACTTTACACTGTGTGTAGAGCCGTTGGTGGGAAGACAGTCTTCGGTCAGTTGTCCATGGTCCTGTACAGTTCTGTAGGACAAATACTCTGATCTATAGCTAGGACTTAAAAATCAATTGAATGATTTTCTGAGTAGATGTCCTATCAACCCATTTGATGGTTTTCTTCTAATAGTGGGCTTTTTACAGTAGCTTTCTTAGCTATGAGTCTGTCTGCAGAAAAAATGTGGAGAAGGCTGTGAAGCTTCCCTAGCAAATAGCTTGCTTCATGCTGCCAAGTCAGACTCCTGGGCCTTCTTAAAGCGAGGTGCATCTCTAGGCCAATGGTGAGATGTTACTGTGGGAGAGGAGGAGGACACTCTGTTGTACTCTACAGTCCTAATTTCCTTTTTACTCTTCTATATTTTTGGAGTACAAATGAAATGAATTTATTAATCACATTAATACCATGGACATTTTACTGATCGTTTCTTCTTTGATTCCTCTAGGTATTTTTGGAACAGAAAAAGATGCTCAAAACTGGGCTAAACATTGCTCAGTTTAAGCAGCATGTAACTCTGATTGAAGAAGAAACAAAGGAATATTTCAAAGCTTGGGGAGAGAGAGGAGAAAGAAGTAAGCAACATCAGATGCATTGTTACTTAGACTTTCTGGAAAGGAATGAAGGCTGATGCAGGATGCAACAGTATGTTTTTGTAAATGTTTTACTGTAATATTAAAAGAGCTGTAGGGCGAAGCTCTAACATCAGAACACGCTAAACACGGGTTTTGTTTCATCAGATTTAATGCTATTGAAAATAAAGGTGCTCAGAAAATCGTTGACAGGAACAAAGGACAATTCTACTTTTGCTTAGTCTGACAGTAGAGAGCATATGCGTTGCCTGGCTGAATCATGCTGATTTTGCATGCTGTGAGTCAGTTCAGTCTGTTTCATAGCTCTGACTTCCTGGAGCCTGTGTCAGAGATCTCAGTTCATGGTTATCTGCAGAGCGATAAGGTGAGCTTAGTGATGTAAGTCCATCCTTACCTCCCCAGCCGTGTTTCCCAACTAGTCAGCTAGTCACAGCCCATCAGTACTGTTGTAAGCCTGCAATGACAGAAATGCTGAGAAATAATTCAGTAAGCTGCAAAACTACCTGTTTACACATGGATTTTGGTTTTCAAATTTAACTTTTTTGTACTTCTGTGTTTGGTAAGGGTTGAGCTTTTACTGCATTTACTTTTTACTTTTTGGAAGGGGTAACATCTTTCCTAGAAAAAACTCTAGGAACAGTAACTTAGAAAACAAGTTGTTGAAGTCATCAAGTAATGTAATTAAAATGTTACTCATTGAAAGACCTGATTAAAACCATGGAAATTCAAAATTAAATACTTCTTTTTATGGGGAAAGCAAGCTAAAACTCAATTTAAAATTGTTAATGTATGTATGGTAGTTGTTTGTTTTTCCCTTCTACAAGATTTGAATAAGTGATAGTCTGTAAAATGTAACATTTTGCCTAAAGTTCACCTCCAGTAACATTTTTCCACATCTTTTCTCAGACCTGTTTGAAGCCTTTTCAGAACTTATCATTTTGACAGCAAGTCACTGCTTGCATGGAAAAGAAATAAGAAGCTTACTAAATGAGAAGGTGGCTCAGCTGTATGCTGACCTGGATGGGGGCTTTACTCATGCTGCATGGCTTCTGCCAGCCTGGCTACCTCTGCCCAGCTTCAGGTACCAAGAAGAAGATTGTAGCAATTTGAACATTTCATCTATTTATTCCCCTATTTTTTGTTTTGAAGCTGTCTCAGACATTCCTATAAATCCTTACAAGGATTTCATGTTGCTTCTTATGAAGTTGCTAACAGAAGTGATCTGAATTGCAGGCGTCGAGATCGAGCACACAGAGAAATAAAGAACATTTTCTACAAGGTTATCCAGAAGCGTCGGAGTTCTGGAGAAAAGGAGGATGACATGCTCCAAACTCTACTCGATGCTTCATACAAGTAAGCAAAGTGGAGTTGGAGACTTGTAATTTACAGGAAAATAAGTAGGTGTTTTACTTCAGCTTTGAGCTGTTTAGAACATTTTGTCAAAAACAAGAAATATTCTCATGTCCCGCATTCCTCATTGCCAGCAGTTGATCCTAGTGGTGTTCTTAAAAACAGCCTGAAAGTATAAATGCTAACCTTGACTTCTGAGATCATCATTAGTCACAAGGCTGCTGCTTCCGCTTCCTTTCTTGTTGCTGGCTTTCTGTAATGTTTTTCTTCAAAGCTTCCAGAGACTCTGCCCACCTTGGTTCTCTCTTCTGCCTCTCCCTAGACTTTTAGCTGCTG